GCTAAACAATTGGAAAAAGGAATGCAGATGCGGATTAATACTTTATTACTTGATAAGTTTGCACTTAATTTTAAATTCCGGAGGTGTCAAAGACATGGTAGAGAATTACAACAGGGGCTACAGCAATGTCAGGCTGATAAAGGATTATTAGAATATAATCGAGATCGAATCTTTGATAAATACTACAATAAATTCAAGGATCGAAAGGCGAGTCATATCAAGTGGAAAAATAGGGAACGCAATTCACAGCAATTAATTTTGAATTTAAATCAACAAATTTTTGCGCTTCAGAATAATCAACCTATAAATAACCAATATAGAGGAATGGCTGGATATGAACTACCAAAATTTCATGGTCGGGCTGGAGAAGACCCAGAAGTTTTTCTTACTGATTTTCAACGATGGTGTGAGACTGCTAATTATGATCCAAATGCTGGACATAATATGCGAATGAGAATTCATGGTATTTTTGAAACTTGCTTATTGGGTGACTCAAAAGACTGGTATGAAACCAATGTCAAAGGTAAAAACTGGGAATTAGAAAATATTAGTGATAATTGTGGTGCCCATGCAGATCTTAATGCTCTTAATGGATTGTCTAAGAATGAAATACGTGCTATTAATGCTAATCAGTTTAGAGGCGGAGCTCTTCAAATTCGAAATACTGCACCAGCTGATGGAAATCAACCTGCTATACCACTAGTTCCGTCCCACACTGTATGGCATGAAGACTGGCTGACATCAGGTGGACGACCAACAGACTTGGCTCCAAATGCTCCCAATGCCAATGTAGGAGGTAATGTTATAGCTCCAAATATTTTTATTGGCCAAGTAATTGATTATTTTAGGCGTGCATATCCCACAGTTACAGCTGAAAAAACGCAATTGGTATTCACTACCCTTGCTCAAGGCTCCGATCCTGTAGGCCGTTTCTATGCAAACTTAAAAAGAATGGTTAAACTGGCCTACCCAACACTCCCAGCATTAAATCAGGAAGCAATGGTTAGACAACAATTCTTTCAGGGTCTTTCTCCTGATAACAAATTAGAAGTAAGACGTATCGGTCTCGAATACCCAATTTCTGTTTTACTACCAAAATTAGAAGAAATTGAAAGACAGAAGGCTGAAATGATGTTGGGTAAGTATAATCCTGAATCCCACCCTGTTATTTCTCGTTCACAATCTAAAGCTAATACAAAAGATAATTATTCAAGCAATATGGGTATGAGTAGAGATGAAACGGAAAGCTTTGTAAAATCTATTATAGCTTCATCGCAATCTCAACCTGTTTCTACGCAATCAACTTCCCAAAGACGAGAAGGACAATTATTACGACCCAGTCAAATGGAACCAGGTAAAATATATCGAGATCCACTTTTACGCTTGAATGATCAAGAATGGCTTCGAATAGACGATGCAACAGATCGTCTTAGTGCTTTAGCAGGTCCATCTTATCTACAAACTTTCATGGATACAATTAGTAAAGGAGTAATGGATAGAATCACGCCTTTCTTACCAAATAAGAAAAATAATACTCCTAATAATGATGATATGGATGAAATTACTAAGGGTATGTCAGAATTATCAATAAATAAGGCTATAGCCAAAGGTATTGAAGCAGGCGTCAACGCTGTTATTAAATCATCCAAAAACCGTTGTTCAAATTGTAATAGAACTGGACATAATTCTCGCAAGTGTACTCGTAAGAAAAGGTCCAAGAGTAGATCCAAAAAGAGAGGCAGTGTTAATAAGGTTGCTGTAGATTCGGGTTCAGATACAAACTCTTCCAATAATGATTCTTCAGATAATAACTCCGATTCTGGGGATTCCTCGTCTGAAGTTGAATCTGATCATAGTTTTGATGTACACGTCTCTAAATCAAAAAAAAACAAGTAAAGCCCGAATCTAAGAAGTCCAAAATCAAAAAGGAATCCAAACCTCGCAAGACAAAACAAAAAAATACTCCTGCTTCTGGTAGACTCAAAGAGTCATTGCAAAGCAATAAATCAACTGTTATTGATAAATCACTTCAAAGAGTTATACTAGATATGCTTGATGGTATCGTACCTATAGATTGGATTGAGAAACTTAAAGCTAAGATTGAGAACCCATCTGATATACTCCCATCTATCAAAAAATCGAATTTTACAGATTATCGAGAACCGGTTCCAGCAATACCCGATTCAGAGGAAGAAGAAACATTAGATGATCCTATGGAGATAGACTTCGTTATAAAGAAAGAACCTACTACAACTATCGCAACTATACCATGTAAGATTAAGCGTCTGAAAATTCCAGCAATGACATTAGATTCGGCCGCCCAACCCGCGATTGTAACAGACGACATTGTTAAACATGTGGGCGGGAAGATTGATAAATCAGAGATATATGATCTCAGTGGTATTGCTACAGTTCCAACTGAATCCATTGGTGTCATCCGTAATTTACCAATAACATTCCCTCCAGGTTTTACTATATATGAAGATTTTGTAGTTGTGAAATATAAAAAGCCAACATTAATATTTTCGAATCCACTTCTCAAGAAATACAAATGTGCTATAGATTGGGCCAAAGATGAGTTAAAAATTCCTTTTAATGGAAAGGATCATATTATTCCTGTAACTATGCACAATGTCAAAAATAATCTTGAAGTAAATTGCGCTACCGCATCTCAGAATGATAAGTCTTTGGTATCCAATCAAATTTCTCAAGAGACGGATAGTGATAAGGATGACAATATAACATTGGAGGAATGGCATGCTCCTGCGCGTTTTATCCCAGATTCTGACGATTCATCATTAGCAGAGCAAGTACCAAAGGTGTTAAAAAAAAATGCGTAAATTGCGAGAGGTATGAGAAAGAAATGTATGATGCAACAAAAATTATCACTAATCTTAATACTCTTGTTTATCACTACATTGGATTACCTGGTAAAGAAAATAGAGAGTAGGGTCGCCCTGCTTTGCAATAGAATAGACAAAATTCGGAGATTATAACTCATCAATTTTATATTTCGAATTTGATAAATTTTCCTTGCCTTCTTCTACTGCACGTCTAAAAGAGGCTAATGTATCTGTAGAATATGCAGGCTTTTCATCTATTTTTTCTATTAAGTCTTTGGTGATAATAGGCAAGTTGGATTTTCGAACAGATTTGGATCTCTTTGTTTTTGTTCGTTTACTTGGTTCTTCTGATATATTATAACCCTTTAGGGTTGACTCTTCGGTCCTACATAGCAATGGGACTTTATCTCTATCTAAAGACAGGGATTCTATATGAAGAACATCTGTAGCAGAATTTGATATATTAGCGGAGCTAGTGTCAGTGGCAAAGCCACGAGTCTCCGACTCAAGACACTTAGTATCGTGATTATATGTTTGAGGTATAGGTTGATCCCAAGCAACCCTATTAGCTTCTTCTCCTCTCCAGATTTGATAAATCCGTTTTGACGATGTTCTATATTTTTTTAATAAATCCTTTAAAATTTCATTTCTTGGTTCCATATCACGGCATTGCATAATATAATCATAATCTGCTGAAGAAAATAAAGGTGTGCCAAATTTTATACGTGGTCTAACCATATTGCTGGAAGTAACTACACAGTAGCTATTTTTATTTGGAAAATACAATATATTAAAATATAAAAAATAATGGAAAAAATCAAATATATCGGAAAAATGTAATATATCGGAAAAATATGTAGAATAAAAAAAGAGTTCCCTAATATTTGAAAAAAATAAAACATATCAAATATATCAAATATATCAAATATATCAAATATATCAAATATATCAAATATTCCTATTGCTTTCAAAATTTTTAATTTTTTAACAAAGCAAGTTTTATTAATATTATGGATATCAATGAAGAATTGCGTTATGGTGTAAAAATTATATCCGAATTAAATGCTTGCAATAAAACATTGCGAGGTACTCAATTAAAACAAAATAAGAAGTGGGATCGGGAAAGAAAACAGTGGGACCGGGAAAGAAAACAATGGGAAAGTGCATTTGATAATGTTAATAGTGATAAACAGAAGTTACATACCCACGCTTCAGAACTTATTGGTGAGACTAAGCGGTTGAA